GGTCGCGCATACATTCGAATCTTATTTTACTAATATTCCATTAATTACGACACAGGCTCTAAAATCTTCCCCGTCTGCTGCTGAAACTTTACTAACAGACAATGTTAGCAAGTCATCAGCTGTATTTAACTTTAGACATACATCATCAGTAGAAATAATGAAAATATTCAAACAACTTAATAATAAAAAAACAGAGGATCTATGGGGTATATCTGTTAAAATACTGGATAGTATAATGGAAATTATTGCGCCCTCTCTTGCTTTTATTTTCAATAAATGTATAGATGAAGGTAAATTTCCTAACATAATGAAAATTAGTAAAATCATACCGCTTTTTAAATCTGGAGATAGGAGTGACCCAATAAATTATAGACCTATATCCATACTCCCAGCACTCAGTAAAATTTTTGAAAAAATAATCCTTATGCAACTTGTCAGTTATTTCAATTTAAATAATTTAATCCACAATAGTCAATTCGGTTTTTCCAAAGGTCGTTCAACTACAGACGCAGGTGCAGAGTTGCTTAGACACGTATTTGCTGCATGGGAAACTAAAATGGATGTGATAGGTGTTTTTTGTGACCTTTCTAAGGCTTTTGATTGCGTTGATCATAATACATTGCTAAAAAAACTTGCTTTTTATGGTGTCAAAGACAATGCTTTAAATTTAATAAAATCTTATCTATCTGATAGAATACAGAAAGTGAAGATTAGCAACGCTACGTCTGACGGGTCACTTGTGCAAATGGGTGTACCTCAAGGATCTATTCTCGGTCCATTTTTATTCCTAGTTTACATTAATGATCTCCCATATGCCATGCAGGATAGATGCGGCATAGTATTGTTTGCAGACGATACTTCATTGATTTTTAAAGTTAATAGAATGACTAATAATTATGACGATGTAAATAGTGCTTTGCGGCGTCTCCTGCACTGGTTTACAACTAACAATCTTATGTTAAACGCTAAAAAAACAAAATGTGTTAATTTCTCTCTATCTAAAATTTTTAATACTAATTGCAATATTAAATTAAATGACGAATCTCTCGAATTTATAGAATCTACTGTCTTTCTAGGAATCACACTAGATAATAAAACACAATGGGGTGCACAAATTCAAAGCCTTGCAGCGAAACTAAGTTCAGCAGCTTTTGCCGTGCGTAAAGTTAGACAGTACACTGATACTGATACTGCTAGATTAGTCTATTTTAGTTATTTTCATAGTTTACTCTCTTATGGAATATTACTATGGGGAAAAGCGGCAGATATTAAGAATATATTCATATTACAAAAACGTGCCGTTCGAGCGATCTACTGTATGAAGAGTCGTGACTCATTAAGAAAGAAATTCAAAGAGGCAAATATTCTCACCGTTGCTTCTCAATTTATATATTCAAATATTCTATATGTTCATAAAAATCTTGACTTATTTCCAAAAAACAGCAATATTCATAATATTAATACTAGATTTAAAGACAAACTTGCTGTCCCCAAGTATCGTTTAGAAAAAGTTAATAGGTCTTTTATGGGAATAGGTATAAAAATTTACAATAAGATACCAAAGGATATGTTGGAATTACCCTTAAATAAATTCAAAACATCTGTTAAATCATATTTACTGAGCAAAGCCTATTACTCACTAAACGATTACTTGAATGACGAGTGTGCATGGCAATAGTTGTTCATGCACTGAATTTTCATTTAATGTTAGACATAGACACCTATATAAATATACATTGTAAATAAACTGGCTTTAAAAAAAAAAAAAAGTAATTCAATTGAGTTTCTTGCCAGTTCTTCTCAATTGGATCTATATACCGAACTGGACGGTAGGGAAAATATAAAATTATAATGTAAAAATTTGACGTTCATAAGCGGCTAAAATGTCCTACATGAATAAATGATTTTTGAATTTTGAATTTTTTGAATTTTGATATCATGACCAATTTTTAACCGATTTTTGTAATTTTTTTATATAGATAATTCTGAACTTATTTTATTAAAATCAAAAGGCGGGCACTTCGTAATAATTATTTGATTATTGCAAATAATAGAAACATAAGTAAATTTACAATTTTGTATGCTAAAAAAAGTTTTTCGCTGCAAAATTTTATTTCTATATCTATAATACTTGTATGATTAATATAATAATGTAAAAATTAATTTACATTAACATCTAATTAATAAAATCTATAAATATACATCCTTTGTAGTATCACAGAAATGTTATACAAACATACCTATATCTATTTGGAATTTCTACCGACCTATGGCGAGACAGGCAACGTCCTGCACCTATTGATTGTTCTTTGAGATGTATTTGGATTCACTAAACCGAAAATTTAAAGAGAAAATAAGTAAAATGAATTTTCGAATTAATTTAAATACCTTCATAATGATTTCAATAATAAAGAAAATTTTTTAATGAAATTGATTAAAAATATAATAAAAAACCTTCTTACTTCGATCGTAATAAAAAATATAGAAAAAACATGGAAGTACCTTTTTAACAACAAAAATAATCATCAGAGATGGTGTAAAGAAAACATGAATTTTAAATCGATTGAATATTGATTTATTACTAGGTGTTCCCCGGAGCCTTGCAAGTGTGAATCAGTATATAATATACACTACATCTTAAGTTAGGATATAAATAGATAGATAAATAGATAATTTTATTTGTATTACTTACAGCACACAAATTACAACATACATACACAAAAAAAAGCGAGATAACATAAATGGCAAAAAAATACATAAAACCAAATGCAACTTTCGTTTGTGAGTGTGCCATAGCAATACAAAATGGCCACAACTCAGTTTATTGCTTCGCTTGCTTTATATAACCTATTCGTATATCATATTTCATTAAAATCCTTTCAAATTTCAATGCTTATCAATATAAGCATGATTGAACAACAAACTTACAAACGTTCAAACATGTTTTCAAACTTGAACATTTATAATATTAATAAGATTAAGTATTTGTTTCTTAAGTAAAACCGGTTCAACTTGTTTACGCTATAACTCAGTCCTATAACACAGTAAGTGTCAAGCTTTTATTAATTGATTTCCTTCCTGGATGGGTATTATTGTAACAAAGGTTTGACAATAATTTACTTCAGCAATTTTCAACCATTATGTATCCATTACATCTAAACTTTTCATCGCAGAATCCTTACAAAATAATTAAACTTTCCTTAATTTCGATGTTACGGAATAGCATCGTATTACAATTTTTTACAAACTGTAAGCAATATTATTTTTAAAAGTTATATTCATTTATCATATCTAACTACATATATATATATATATATATATATATATATATATATAATTATGACGGGTATTTTATGAACTTACTATATTTGTCGTTTCCGGCAATTATTTCTTCATCCGGAAGTCTTCTTCAGGGGTAGTAATACGCTTTGCGTCACAGCGTCTCGCACTATGGGCTTGTGGGATTATCTGCTCGAGCCCACGGTCGATGTCATCTGGTCGATACGTCGAGACCATCACATCATATTAGCCATTAACTGTCCATTATTGCACATAGCCCCCCCCCCCCTTCATAAAGGGGGTTTGCCAGTATTTGCCATAGGTACTTGGCAAACGCCAATGTGGCTTTAGGAGATGTTTTAAAATCTTTAGTCACCTTTTACGATACGATGTGGCCCATTTATGCCGGAACCTACAGCACGTCATGATAATTTACGTAATTTATCATAGTTTTCCTGAAATTATCTCGTTAATTCCCATCTCTTATAAAACATAATTCTGACCTAATTTTGTTGTTATTATTGTTTTTTGGTGTAGTTTACTTTTAGTACGAGCACAGGTTAATTCAATTACAACAATATCTACTGGGGAGAAAGGGATTGTTAGTAATGGAGACTGAGCATCCCATTGCTAGCAATATACTCAACCAGGTCGACCTCCTCGCGGTTCTCCCTGGAAACTATCATGGTTAATTCCTGATGAATTCATCATGATTGGCTAACTGACCTGTTTTCATTCTCATCGATCACCCTTCATTGGTGCTCCGTCAGCGTATTCCGTTAGCGCAGGCGGGGTTACCATACCATTTTCACCCATCAAAAAAAAAAACAATATCTACTAACTATAATACCTACTAGAATCAAATTACATTGTCAATAATATTTATTACACATATATGGACTCATATAAACAGGATAAAGATGATATTTTGTATACTAGTGAAATAATGAATATGTACGTCAATCTATATAAGATCTTCCTAAAGACGACAACATAACCTTCAAGAAAAGAGCATATTCCATTTTAAAAAGCCGGCAGCATACCTGCAATGCCGTTGGTGTTGTGGGTGACCATGGGCGGCGGTAGTCACTTACCATCAGGTGAGCCGCATGCTCGTTTGCCCCCTGTGTTGTAAAAAAAAGACATAATCTTTTTTCGAAAAACGAGAATATGCTTTTGAGCCTCCATCCGTCTGTTTGAGTGTCCGACAAACTTGACTGGACGTAATATTGATATAGCTTTCTTTAAAAGAACGTGTTAACCAGTTTAAATTTCAGAACACTTCTTTATAAAGTAGCGCCAAGGTTTTGATTTCACCTATATATTGAATAGTGTAAAAAAGCAGTAAACAAATAGGATCACTTATAGAAATTTGTTTCTCAGACATTTGTATCGCACTACTTACTTAGAATATCGTAGAATCAGTAAACCATATCATTGCATTTTAGTGATATATCCTTATAACCATTACAAGCTTGACAACATCACTAACGGAACGATCGTTTCTCCCTCACCTTTATTACATACACAATAAGAGCTATCAAGTCCAATCGCGCGTGAACCTAACGCTTGTTTTCCAAAAACACAATTCGAGCCGCACTGTGCCCAATTTGCTATAGATTTTTAACACAGCGAGTGTACTTTTTTCGCGGTGTCGATGTATGAAATTGCGTTAGGGTTGTCAGCGCATGCGCGTTTAGAACAAACAACCACCCCAGTGAAGCCAAATCAACGTCGGTGACCCGACGCGTCTTCGACCGTTATAAAAATATTACAACAAGTTGTATATGAATATGTACCTAAATGTTTATGTTTAGATTACCTACTATTCTAATTATATGTCAATTTTGTATGTAGTGAAATATTTAGTAGAATATCTATTTTAATTAGGTCATTGTGTTAGTGAATTTAGTATAAAAGTTTTGGAGACATTTTTAGCGGTTCATTGAAGATGTATATGGAATAAATTTGGTAAGTATCTACTGGATTATAATAACTAATATTTTAAACAAAATAGATTTAATAATTTTAATAAGCTATATCAACTACCTCTATATTATTCATTATTTTATTTATATAACCTTAATTAAATATTCCTATTGTTTACATCTTAGTTACTTTTCGTAAAACATCAAGTTTGACATCTTTTATGTATATATTGTATTGTACTTATAATTTTTTATAGCATGTACTTATAAATAATAAAAGTACCTATAAAAAAAGAACGGCCACTTTACGAAGACGACGGATACGTAAAATTTTGTTTTACGTACTCAGTAATGATAACGTTTACTGCTTACCTATGAATAATGTAAGAATTTTCAGTAACTACTCTATTTTAGACGAGTCTATACAATTTATTTACTTATTAAACTCTTTATTACACCAGAAACATAAAAATATACAATGAGAATTCAACAATTCATGTGAAATACAGTAGTATAAAGTACACATTAAAATATATTATATTATACATAAAGGTACAAAAGGTATAATTTGAGGCAAAGGTGATCCTTGTTCTATCTATATAACATCATTGTCATAATAATGAATCTTTCGCAACAAATTATTATTAACACCTTGACAAGGATCCTTTATATATAAAAATGCCTTTTATTTCAAAGATTTCTCGAGGAGTATTTTATTTCAAATCTTCTTTCTTGCACTGATATAATGCTTTATTCCCACCAGTCGCCTCTTTTACCACACTGCGGATAAAAATACGTGACATCTTTTTGCCCTCTGGATATCGTGAGAGACGATTTACTTACTTGTATTCTCCATTGTAAGTTAAAATTTCGCTACGTAAAAAAAAAATTCAGTCGAGATAAAATGGAAACGGGACCCATACGTGAGTAAATTTTATCGAATGTAAAATGAATTATGAAATTCGAGTAAAAACAAATAGTGCACTGTAAACACAAACCTACAAGTGTACTGAAAATTTCTTCCTTTTTAATTTCGATTAAAATTAGTGTACCTATTTACTATAGCGATAAGAGGACTTCGGCAAAGTGACACAATAGAACCAAAACTATTCACTCCGACCGTAGTAGGTGTCTCAAACTAATAATTAACGGTCCAGAACTAGAGTAAACAAAGGTTCCGAAACATTACCATAGTAAGTTCACATACTCTTTTTCAATCAAATAGTGCACAATATACACCATAGAAATACCTGCTATACAATAAAAATTAGATTCTGTGATTCTATTTGACGTCAGTCTTAAAATTATTATAATAAAAATAAAGAAAACATCTAAAAATACGTGTCTGTATACATCACAAGCAGACGATTCGATTTGGAACATTCGAGACTGCCAAAGACTCGAAACGTGTCTTTAGACCAAATTGTAACACTCAAAGGAGGCGGAAAAAGGAGAGAGTACATAATTATACGCCTACACCGTCACTACAAATAGTCAATAGTCGAAAGACTGTACTCTCTTTTTGTTTGCATACTAAATATTAAGTTTTAAGTACGTATATTTTGATCTGTATTTTATACTGCTGTATTTAATTTGATATCTTTAATTGTTATTGTATATTTTTTAGTTATTGGCGCAATAAAAATATTAATAAGTAAATGAATAAGACTGAGTTTAGTTTCTTTTATTTATTTTTTATGCAAATAAACTGAAAACGGCAAACAAGCTGACAGCCCGCCTGATGGAAAGTGGTACCGTCGCCTATAGACATGAGCAGTACCATGCATATGCAGATATAACAGAGTATACTCTTTCGCCCATGATACCTGAGGATCCAGATGTTATTCCTCTGTACCCTGTAAATTCACTGCCATATCCTACCCTTCAAAACGAAACACAGCCATGGAAACACAACTGTTTTACGGTAGAAACTCGAACGGGACAGAGGTGCCCAAGCAAACGACATTTTGCACAAAGTCTCCCTCTAGTTTCACACTAGTGAATTAGTGATTCAAATTAAATAAGGTCATTCTGAAAGAACATCTTTATAATATACTAACTTGTACTTGTTCGTCCGTGAAACCAGGGTATATTCGCTGAATGGGATAATAGTAACTCATATCCTTCTAAATCCCATGTATCACGTATCCCATACATCACACTTAGTAATCATTGGTCAAGATGTTAACGTATTAAAAGGTAATAAACAAGCTCACTTTCACATTTACAATACGAGTATTTGTAGAGATGGAGGTAAATCGTATATCTTCATCTATACATAGATGTGAAATTCCGACGTCTAAAGGTGAGAATATCTAAAAGGCTTCTTTGAATTCCTCCGGCTTCGCTGTCGCGGAAAGGTTCGCTTTTAGCACAGATATTCTGAGACTCTTAACCTCAAGCGATTTCACTATATCCGAGATAGTAAAAGAAAATTCTTGCTATTATTATACAGTACTTTTATTCTTCTATCACTTAGATCTTAAATACATAGTGTCTAATCATACTATGTTCTTATGTCTCTTGTTTTGTAGGCAGAAGACAAAGATCGTTGTGTGTATAATGTAAAAACTAGGTACTTTTCGAAATCCCTTCTGTAGTAACAATGTATAAACTATAGGTAGATGTCTTTCCATTATGTCTCATGTGTGTCTTTCTATGTCATCTTATTTAACGGTTACTAAATGCCTTGAAGGTTCATCATCATATTATCCGCTTTGGTAATATTTTAAGAGTGACGCTGTTGCCCATCCCTCTATCTTCTCACCACTAATGTTCCTTTATTTGCCTTTTACGACACCCACTGGAAAGGAAGGGATGGCCTATTCTGTGCCGGGACCACACGGACGAATTTGTTTGTGTGTGTATTGTATGAATTGATTTGTTTGTGTACATGTTGTTAATATTTATAATGTGTTTCTTTCTTTTAAGGGAACGATAAAGAATTTTTAGTACAAACAAAAACTTCAACTAGAAGAGGTTCTCTGTTCGACTGAATATAGTTTAATATAATTAGTTTAATTAGTATTCAGTAATTAGTGCACTTACATTTTCGATTTTTGAGTATGATACCATAGAATTCTGGTTTGTACTCATATACTCATAATTGCTGGTGCACGCAAGGTGAAAGCCATTTAATTGCTTTAAGCTAAATAATTAGCTCTTATATATAGACAAATCCATTACGTTGTAACTAATAACATGAAAGTTACGCTTTAATTAATTACAGGTAAAGCCTGTCTACGTGAATTAGATAAAACAAGTATAATTAGTCTTGATTAATTATAATACAACAACATATGAGCTTATTAGACATATTTAGTTGATAAAATTAAAATTTGCCGTTGCCGTGTGGTCCCGGCATAGAGTACCTAGGCCATTCCTTCCTTTCCCATTAGTGACGAAAGAGGCGATTAAGGAAGGGCGAGTGATAGGCAGCAGCGGCCCTCTTGAAACATCTCCAAAACCTAACTGCGGTTGCCAATCTGTCTATCAAGTATGACAAATACTGGCAAAACCCCCCGGGGAAGGCTTATGTTCAGCTGTGAACAGTTAAAAGCAGATATGATAATGATGATGATGAAAATTTGCCGTGTATTTCCGGCATATAATAGGCTATCCCTTCCTTTCGCGTGGGTGTCGTGAAAATCGACTACAGGAGGCTAAAGGATGGGCAGCAGCGTCTCTCTTAAAACATCTCTAAAGCCTAACTACGGTTGCCAATCCGTCGGCTAAGCGTGGCAACTACTGCTAAAAACCCCAAGGAAGAGGCTTATGTCCAGCAGTGGACAGTTAAAGGCTGATGTGATGATTACATAAAATGGAATGGCAATTTAACCCATGAGTTGTACGAGTATATACCATAAGCACCACAGAGTAATCAATGGTGCAGTTTACGTCTATAGACGACGACTACCACTTTCCATCAAGTGGGCCGTTACCTTGTTTACACTGATATGACCATGGTATCCAATATGCGGATATATGAAAACATGCTCGCCATGCTAAAACTCAGGAAATATTTAAACCAACATTTGTGTTTGGAAGAGAATCGTGAATATGGCAGAAGAAGCATGAAAGCAGAATTAATGCTGTAGAGCTGAGATGTCTGAGAAGTATGTGTGATATTACATTAAAAGATAAAGAGAGTAATAGTGTGATTATGCAGTGACAAAGACCGAAAAGAAAATATTGCGTTGGTATGATTATTTGGAAAAGATAGATCAAAGAAGAATGAAAGAAATGTATTGAGTATGTATAAAGGAAAATGTCGGTATGAGTCGCCTAGACGCATATATGCAATATCACCGACCAAATAGGCAATATTCTGAAGGAGGGCCAAATTAAAAGTACCCGTAACCGGCGAGCGTGTATGAAAACATTAATGAACGAAAGAGATCTGTTTGAATCGAGGCATTTAGTGCTCTATTGATTCTACCTACACTAATAGAAGACAGACGTAACAGATATTTATGTACGTATGAAATATTTACTTTTGTCACAATTTCAGACCAGAGGCTATTTTAATCAGATTAATAACGCCAGCCGTCGGACATCACTTTAAATATTTAATATGCACGACCATTTTTCCAGACTATTCAGTTCAGTAAAACTCGTCACCGGTAAATAAATAAATAATATACCTAGTATATAAAAAATAAACAACACGATGCTTCACAGTATTGTTATTTTAAGTGATTTGAATAAATAACCAAGAAACATATAAATATACAATGACAATAAGAAATTTCAAATGAAATACAATAGCATAAAGTACAGATATATATATATATATATATATATATAAAGTTAGGTACAAAAGGCGATCTTAGGGCAATCTCTTACAACCTTTGGTTAAAGGAAAACAGAGAGATGTGGGTAGGTAGCCCAAGAGTAAATTAATAATTATTCCCGCGACCTTGCCCACGTGATCAAGATATATTCACTGACCAAACTAAAACGTAGTTTTTATCCTTCTCCATACCATATAGCCGTAGTACTTAGGTATATACTAAATTTCAAAGTGATTTATTAAGCCGACAG